CCCTATTTTTACATTTATTATTATTTTATATGAAAAAAACAACTATTCGTAGAAATGGTATAGAATTCTTGAAAATCAATATTTTTCGATCGAAAAACTATGTTACTCTTCATGAGATGCCCAATAATAATACCCAATAACCATTTTTTTAAGTAACTATTTATATTTTATAGGTCAGCCAAAAATAAAAAATCCTTAGTATTAAAAAATGGTTAAATAAACTAAAATAAAAATATAGGAATATTTTTTTTTTCTATAGACCATATATTTTGGACCACCCTAATGTACACACATTTCAGTATACCCTTCTGATTAATATTTTGGCGATTTGGTCTTTTTTTCATTTTCGTTTTATTATTCATTGGTTTGCCGCTTTAGTTTGTTTTTCGGTTAGATAATGATGTGTAAATTTTGTGGGCCATTCGTGTTTTGTTACGCCTTAATTAAATGATAAAGTCAACTTGAAGTGTGGATATACTATTACAGCAATTGGTAAAGGTTTAATTTTGAAAACAATGCAGAAGTGCAATTCAAGGAACAGTGAGTTATAAAGGCAAAGTCAAGGACAGCGGTAGAAATGGATAGATTAACAAAGACTACCATGAAATTAATTTTAAAATGTTTGGAAGGAAAGATATGATAAGAAACTAACTGGTTTTCGAGACTTCTGTTAGGATTGCTAACAGTGCAGGTTTAAAATTGTGATGTTTAGAATTTCGCATAACTTTGGAAAAACTTGATTTTTCCCCCCTTTGGCCAGAACTTCGTTGTATGCTAAAAGAAAAGTTCAGAACAAAATGCATCCCAACCAAAAAAGGTCGATTTCTAACCTAACCTAACCGTAAGGCGATTTCATATGGATAGACCTATTTGGCTTACTAATGAAATTAAGTTTTCAGTCTATGCTCATATCTGATCTAAAATGACAGCGTGTTTAGCTATAAAGAGAAAATATATATATATATCTCTTCGAGGTTGATTACTACTACCAAGGCCTCAGTTTTGCTTGTGTCTACGACTAATGTACAGTACAATCCCGTTGAGTGTTATGGAAGATCCGCATTTTTCCGATGAGCTAGCCACTAAGTTTTTTTGGAAAATTGCTCATTTTGTTTACTTCTTAAAATACTGCGCTTGTTTGGAATAAGCACTAACGTCTTCAGACATACATACATACACATGAGTCAGCCTCATTGTAAATTAAGGCCTTGTTTAGGTATCCGTGATACTTCTGTTCCGCAGTCCTTAGTCAAAGACATAAGAAAATCGAAAGATTCCAACCAGCAGCATTAACATTTTTGTATACATACTTAGATACATATCGTCATTGTCTTTGCAAAACCGCCCATCGACCGGTTGCAAAACCGCCTATCTTACGGCACTCAAATTTTACAGGAAAGCGAAAATATTTTTTTCTATTAAGGCATTGACTTGATAGGCGTTATTTTCTCTACCTATTATTTTACAAATCTATTTTTTTTTAATAACGATTTTATGCATAAATCTCGATCGGAAGTATGTATGTATCCCTGGTGGGTTGAAATACAGCGTATTTTCATCAATGAATATTCCCGATATGCTAACCGTTTCATAATATTGTCCTTGAAAGTGCAAGCATTGGCGCCATTAGTGCGTCTTTTATACATATATTTTTTATATGTAAATTGCGTAAATTAAAAACTGTTGCATTTTAACAAACGCAATCAATCAAGCGGCCTATTGACTTGTTTAATCAATATAAAGCAATTCCAATTTGGAATCGGAATAGTGAGTATACGCCCCCATTGAAGCATGACAGTGCAACCCGATACATTTACATATGTATGCAAATGGAACTGCAATTAACGCAAGCCCCATTCAGCAAATCGCACAAAGAACAATGACCCAAAAGTGGCAAAAGCAATAATGTGTGCGACCCCAATAGGCGGGATGCCCCTTTCTAAGCCCGCATTTATGCATATGTACATACATATTTAGATACATTTCTATTACATTTTCTTTCAAACCTACAAGAAAACGCACGCACCCTTTCGCATTTAACGCCAGCACTTAGGGCCGTTTCCTGAAGTAACCTTTAACTTTACAGCTCACTTTATATTTAAAGGTTGGATTAAAAATAAAGCTATGTCTAAAGCTAAACATTTCTGATATCGGTTTTTGAAGTATGTATATTTCTTGGTTGCGAACCAATTTAAACCCGATAATAAAATGCTTTACTTCAGACACAATCATAAATTTTAATGTAAATAATAATAAATATAAAGTGAGCTTTAAAGTTACAAGTTACTTGAGAAAACGGCCCTTAGAGGCATAAAAGTCAAGCCTCGCAGACGATATGCAATTTATTGCACACTTTGTGCATTTCCGGTGTCTGCTAAAAGCATACATATGTATGTATGTGGAACTTTTGGTCGTGCCGCGCCTTGGTGATGGGGGAGTTGCGTTCAATTCCCAACAGCATTGCACAAAATTATCTTCCTTCTGCTTGAACGAATTCAATTTGTGCGCCAAAAAAGGCAAACTTTGAGTTTAAAATTTTTTTTTCATTTTATTTCTAGGACATCGTCTGACATGGAAGGCCTACCATCGTCTCGCTGACATACACGATTTCTTCGATGTTTTGGCTAAAACATATCCTGATATTTGCTCAGTGGAAACAATTGGTTACTCATTACAGAAACGTCCGCTGAAAATATTGAAGTGAGTATACTGAAAAACTGTAATTGAAAACATCCAAAAAAAGTGTTGAAACAAAGTTTATTTATTACCACTTTCTAACTTCTTTCCACACGTGCAAGACGGTATTTCATTTCCGGCTGTTTATAACTTTTCACTTTTCACTTTTTCAATTTGCAGAATCTCCAACGGCAATCCGGGCAATCCAGGCATCTGGATCGATGGCGGCATGCATGCACGCGAATGGATTAGCCCTGCAACGGTAACATTTATTGCCAATCAATTGGTTGAAGGTTGGGACGATATGCCTGAATATATGCGCAATGTTAACTGGTAAGCCACGAAAATCCGTACACATTGCAATCTTTCAATAAATATACATATACATATACTTTTTGCAGGTACATACACGCTGTGGCAAATCCCGATGGCTATGAGTACACACACACCACTGATCGCTTGTGGCGTAAGAATATGCGCTCTCATGGACGCCAATGCCCGGGAGTCGACTTGAATCGTAATTTCGGTTACAAATGGGGAGGCAAGGGTACATCAGCGAATCCTTGCTCGCAAACTTACCGCGGTAGCAAGGCCTTCTCCGAACCAGAGACATTCTACATATCGAAGTTTATTAGCAATTACCCCCGTGACACCTTCCATGCATACCTCTCCTTCCACAGCTATGGTCAGTACATTCTGTACCCATGGGGCTATGATTATCATCTAACTTCCGATAAATCGGACTTGGATCGCGTTGCGCGGCAAGCGGGAACGGTGAGTGAGAGGAATTTGCATTTTGTAATATGGGCGAATAGGAATCTATGGGTATGGGCACTAGTAGCAAAAGGCAATGGCGTTTTCAATTATACAAAAAGTGTTGCCTTTTCATTGCCCTAATCTTAGTATTTATGAGAAGAAGGCGAAGAGAAGATACAATTTTTCGGAAGAAGAATTCAATTAGGTTGTCAGCGACATGTAAAATATTTTTCATGCCTCAAGACTCATGCGTGGTCTTATTCTACAATGCGCTACTCCAAAATGATGAAGATACCGTCGATAGTAATTTCGAGGATATCAACGAAGCGTCGATTTTTTTTTTAAAGAACGCATAAAAATTCAAGAACGTAGTGGTTTATCACGAAGAAACAAGACGAGTTAAGGGTTGTTATAAATAGATATTAAGCCGAAAATATTTCCACAACCTAGGCAGTCCAATCTTTACTGTAGGCAAATACCTTGCTCTTATGGGTGTCAGATCGAAGTTTCCGAAATCTAGTTGGCACGATCTTCACAACAATCTGAACTCTAGCTCGTTTTCTTTGTTCTCAGAAAAGGGCGAAGAGGACTATCATAAGGAGGTTCGGAACCAACATCAGTGCAGAAGAGTATTCTAATTCCTAAGTAGATATATATTCTACCGAAGCAGGGTACCATTTGCTAGACTGAAGGAAATCATGCATTCAAAGTTTTATACAAAAGGGTCTCAAACTCAACTTAGTAAATCAATCAATCAATTAGATAAATCAACATACTACAATAAGTTGGTACATTGAGTGAAGAAATTGTCTAGATAGGCAAAATATACATACATACATAGTCAATTTTGCAGACTTCACTATAAAGCGCAACTACCGGAGCTAGAACATTGCTATCCTGCGGATAGCTGGGTCAGCCTTACCCAGAGATTCCAACAAGAATCATCAAAACTGAAGATGGAGTGCCTTGGCAGGCTAATAAAAAATTAAATGAAATAAAATTCCCAATAAACGCACAAAAGATGGCCACAACAACTACTTTCATCGGGTCGGAACCATTCGACGGCAAAGAAAAGGCGCGCACAAGCACAAAAGATAATTCAGGGCGCGAAGAATTCTAGAGATTTATTGCTCATTTCTACCAAAAGCTTAACTGCAGTTAAGAGCTCAGATCTTCTTCTTCTTATTTGGCTCTGTGACCGCCTAAGCGATTTTAGCCGAGTGCAACAAAGCACGCTAGTCGTTTCTCTTCTGTGGCAACTGAAGCCAAGTCCTCCTCCACCTGGTCTTTACATCGCAGTGGGAGCCTCCCATAAACCTTTTGTAAAGCTACTTAATTTTTTTATGAATACGGCTATAAGGTTTTAAGAACCAAACGGGAGTGGCCTTCACCCACAATCAGTAGCCCCTGACAAACCTAACTCGATTTTTATGTTTTATTTTATTTTTATTTTTTTTTTTTGATTCGGCGATATATTTTTTCCCGACACATACGCACTAATTTACATCCATACATATTTATATTTATATAAAAAAAAATTATTAATTTTTAATTCATTGCTCCATACAGACTATTACGAAGCAATCGGGTGGCAAGTACACCATTGGCTCTTCAGCGACCACTCTCTATCCAGCAGCTGGCGGTTCAGACGATTGGGCTAAGGGCTTTGTCGGTATCAAATACTCCTACACCATTGAAATGGGTGACACTGGTCGTTATGGTTTCGTGCTACCTGCCAGCCACATCGAATCGAACGGTCGGGATGGCTACACGTTTGTGGACACAGTAGCGCGCGCTGTCACACAGGGCAAATACAGTCGAAAACGTGCCTTTTAATTATGAATTAGACTAATTCTCTAAATTAATTTAACATATTTAATTAAATTTATTTAAAATCTATTTATTTGTTTAAACTTTATTTATTTAAAATTTATTTATTTATTTATTGATTTTTGCTAATAGCAAAGTAAAAAAGTAATGAAGGCGAATAGATTTAGCGATTCTAAAGCCAAGTTAGTTAAGTAAGGAAAATGCTAATTTAATTAATTCTTTTTGGTTATTTTTCCGATAAATTTATTTACGTATTTATTTATTTTATTTGTAACATTAATTTATTTGAATATTTATGTACTTGGATAATAGTAAATTTGGCCGTTTAGTTCAATTTAAATAGACTGAAAGTTTGTTTAAACAAATTATGGCTTACAATGAATGATAAAATGATACAAAATTACAAAAAAATCAAATAAATTTTCCGAAATTTTAAATGTAATGGGTTTCCTTCGAAATGAAAAAAATGGGATCGACTGCATGCAATTCAGGTAATTGTCTTTTGGGCGCTATTATGTGTGTGTGGTTTACCTGTTTGTCTATTTACATACTTGTACTTCTTCTTCTTATTTGGCACTACAACCATTTGTCGGTTCGGGCCGAGACCAAAAAGGTTCTCCAATTGCTTCTCTCCTGTGCGAATTCACGCCAGTTGGTTATCCCGAGCGCAGACAGGTCCTTATGTACTTGGTCCTTCCATTGCGTTCGTGAGCGCCCTTGCTTCTTTTGTCCACCCATGGATGCGACCGGAGCGTCGTCATCCATGCATACAACATGTCCAAGCCAGTGCAATCGCTGTATTTTTATGCGCTTAACTATGTCCATGCCGTTAAAAAGCTCATAGAGTTCGTCATTCCATCGAAACAGGGCCATAGATCTTGCGTAGAATATTTCTCTCGAAAGCCCCCAAAGCCTGTTCGGCATCGTCTAAGTTGCTGCGCCATATTAAAGGACGGTCATGATGAGAGATTTGTAGAGCGTACTTATCGTTCGTCGAGAGAGGGCTCTGCTTTTCAATTGCCAACTGAGCCCAAAGTAGCACCAGTTGGCAAGAGTTATTCTTCGCTTGATCTCCAGGCTGGAGTTGTTGGTGGTGTTTATACTGGATCCTAGGTAGACAAAGTCCTTCACTACTTCAAAGTTATAGCTGCCAACAGTGATGTGCGTCCTGAAACGCTTGGACTCTTTATATGTTGCCAGGAGGTACTCTGGTGAATGGTTGAACTTACCAGGTCGGAAGCGACACTGATAAGGTTCAATCAGCTGGTTCGTGAACGGCTACAGTCTTTCACACAGTATCGTTGACAGGACCTTGTATGCAATATTAAGAATGCTTATTCCGCGATAATTGGCGCAAACGGCGAGATCTCCCTTCTTGTGGATTGGGCAAAGTACGCTGGGATTTAAATCTTCGGGCATGTATTCATCAAACAAAATTCTGCTTAAAAGCTGGTACATGCGTCCCACCAACTCTTCGCCATTGGCTTTGAACAGCTCAGCCGGTATACCGTCGGCTCCGGGGGCCTTGTTGTTCTTAAGCCGCTTTATTGCTGCTCTCACCTCGTCTTGGTCGAGTTAACGGACTCGAGCTTCGTACCTATACATTGGTTCGGGTTCTCCTTCATCAAACGCATCAAAAGAAAACAAATTTTTCAGGTAGCGTGTACCTACGTATGTAGCTATTTTATGTACCAACTTACTTACGTACCTATGCACATTAGGGTGCTTCACTAAAAAAAAATCGCGTTTTTTTCCGAAGGAATTATAAAATGTATTATATTTAAAGACTTCCCACCTAAATATTTCCGAAAAATATATGGATTTACATAAGCTGGACCCAGTTGCAAAGATCTCAAAAAAAAAAATAAGTTTTTTATAAATAAAATTAGGTTTTAAATATATTTTTCCCATAAAATTACATCAGATGAGAGAGAGTTTAAGTTAAAACGTCTTCACAAAAATGTTTAAAAAATGCTATTTACAAATGGCTAAAGGGATCCTCTAAGACAACACATATTCATAGATTCAAAGGGTCTAGCTCACGTAAATCTTAATATTTTGCAGAAATATTTGGAGAAAATCTTAAAATACAATAATTAGAAAGCTATGTACCCTAATATACATACATATGTATATCTATGTAAAATCCATTGAGTTGCACAAAGTCACAAGTCAGAATCAACAATTGCCATCAGCCTTGCATGACCCCTCTTTCCTTATTGCTACTATTTATCTAAAAATCCCTTTGCAAAGCCTTGACCTTGTTCCGCCATTGTCTTTTTTTATTTTGAATTCTTATTTTCCATTTTTTTTTTTTGTTTCTTCGTGTTCATGCGAGTCAAGTAGCTAGTAGGACTCCTGTCTCTGACGGCATTAAATGAGCTTTGCTTAAAATGTCATAAACTGAATAGTGACTACAAGGCGCACTACAAACTCAAATACATATGTATGTAGATAGTGAAAATATGCACCTTATCGCTCAAACGCATCACGTCACAAGCAATCGATATTCGTTTGGCTAGTGGCATTTTTGGAGAATATTGTCAATAACGCGGAACATTAAGACGAAAAGATTTGTTAGACAAAAGCGAACACTATGAAATGCATATTACAATATTTCTTAAGATTCTCTTTACAGATGGGAATAATACTCTTGAGAATAAGAATTCAATCCTTTCCAGGGAGATAGATTATTAAAAGTCGACTATCCGGCTATTCAAGTATTTGGGCATCTAGGGTTGTCGAATCGCGGCCGTCTTGAAAACTAGGATGGCCAAGTTTTTTTTCCACTCAGAGGGACAAAAAGACTTTTCACCATCTCACTGCAATTATTTTTTATTATATACAAATATGCCAATTTATGTTTAAAGCGACTTCATAAATACTTCTTGTACTCGCAGAATTTTGTTACTAGAACGTTTGTGATACCGTTTAATTGGTTCAAAGCCGATTCCGGCTCTTTATTTACATATTAGTCTAAAAGCTTAAACAGACGGCAGCGTTGATCGGGATTAACTGGGACTTAATCCGGATCAACTGCAGTTAATTCCCGAGTTGACGTCTGTTTAAGCTCTAATAAAGCGTTGTAAGTAGTTCGCAGATTTTCGTTGTTCTGGTACGACATACGGTCGAAAAAGTACTGGTGGAAAAACCGCCGCTTAAGTCAAGCCAGAACGGGGGAACTGTAAAGAAAGAGTTCAATGATCGCGATTTCTTCATTGACACGACAGGTGTGACAGTACTTATTCGCCGGAAAGGCCATTCCGCTGGCGTAGGTTCCCATAAGCCAGTGGTCAGTAATGATCCTTATTGCCAGCTGGTGTTGTGAGTGTTCCAATTGCAGAAAAGCGTAGGATATGGGTTTGGGAAGGTAACTGGTCGATGGGCGGTTTTGCAAAAACATTGACGATATGTATTTACGGAACAGCGTCAGCAAGAATATTTATCAAAATGATTTCTTAGCCACTTGAAACTTGCACTTTATCAAGCTAGAATTTAGTGGGCTTCTTTTTTCTAAAAATGCTTAATAAAAAGTTTGTTGTTGTACACTGAGAAAAAGGATTAGTTTCGACAACTAAAGATATTTAGTTCCCGAATTTTGACAATATTTGGGAACTGTTACCAAGGATTGGGAACTATTACCATCGATTGGTTATTATAACTAAATATATTAAAGCTTCTAATATTCATCTAGGTTGTAGCAAATCGTTAATTTAGTTGAAGGGTTTGGTTAATACTAATAAATATTTCTTTGAAGCATATTTCTACAAATTCCATTCAACTTAACGTATGGTTCATAAAAGGATGTTATTAAGCTCTGCTAATGCAGATAAGCTTTCTTTCAACACGTGGTTTAGTCATAGTTACCAAATCTTAGTTGAGGCAACCACGATTTGGTTTGAGAGTGGAACATATTCATGCTTGTGAGCCACCCCTAAAGAATGCTGAGCGCTCTCTGAGCACATACGAAGAGCGCCAGCTGAGCAATGCACACAGTCCCACTTATTGAATCGTTTGAATGCGCTAGTATGCCGACCATTGCATTGTGCGTGGAAATCATTGCTCCGCTACCGCTGTTCGTATATGGGTGAAACACGCATGTGGTCCCAGAGCGCTCAGTAAGCTATGGCATGTCGATCGCTGCGCCATGTGTGCTATGACATGCCCATACTTGTTTGTCACAGTTTCAGTTTTGCTATCATCGCGGGTTGTTTCGGTGCGCGCATAGTTTAAAGTTTAATTAAAAATATAAAGTTCGATGCCAACCGGGGTTTTTCAGTGGATATATAATTCATGTGAATTATAATTTGAAAGTGTCTATTTAGCTAAGGAAAAAGCAAAGCAGTATACTTCCAGCAGATATTGACCTGGGTTTTCGCACGACTGTTCCTGTTTCATCGTTGTTTTTTAGGAAATTCTTACCACCATATACATATGTATTATTTACTTTAGTAACTAACTTATGTAAATATGTACGTATTTTTATGCTTAATATATGCAAATAAAAGAAGAAAGTAAACACAACAAACATCGAGTAAATTTTTATTTGTGTCAAACTGAAACTTTTTTCCCAATAATAAACGGTTAGCTGATTCAAGTCTACGGCAAGTTCACAAGATTAATTGAAAACTTGTATCAACCAAAGCATTGTTTATATTTGCTCAACAATGATTGTATTCAACTAACAATATTGTCCAATCAAGGTAGTCGTTTTGTAATTATTAACAAATATACATTTGTCCCAACTAGAAGTCTTAAGTAAATTGCAGACTTTCGTGAACTATATATTTATTTCGCCATATCCAACTATGCCACTTGATCACTATAACCAAATCTTGGTTATTATAACTAAATCTTTTTCTGGGTGTAGCATTTTGTTGAATTTTTCTACACAATTTGAAATTTAGACTTATATCACTCATTCAAAAGAATTCCCCACGTACATACATATGTACATCAGTATAGAAGCGTAGTGGATTTCGTAATAGTAGAAAACGCTTAAATAATTAAGCGATGTCTCGTTAGCACGAACAGTTCATTCAACTACGATTTAACTCTAGCAACTAAATCACAAAAAAAGGAAATTAATAAATAAAAAAACAAAAAAAGTAAAAGCATATTTCACATAAGACCATTATGAAGCTACATTTTAATATATGGAACGAATTTAGGGATACATACTTTCTTTTGTAAGCATTAAATATTGCTTGATAGGAAAGAAGAACTAGCGAAAGACCGGTATGAATAAAGCGCGTGAAAGATGATAATTTGAATTTGCATAAAATTACCATTAATTTCAATTGTATAACATACTTATTGGGTCATATGAAAAGTCTCCGCGGATTTTAGGTAAAGTTTTTGAAAAAAAAAATCTTCATTGAAAATCAATTTTAATTAAGTACATATTGGCCATGTCATTGTCAGCAGCTCTTTGCTTAGGGACATCGGTCTTTGACCATGATTGCTTGCTTTGCTTGTAAGTAATCGCATTCAATTCATGATAAGTTTCAAAAATCGTTCCATTTCGTTGCGTTTCAGCAGCGTTTCGTGTAATTCGGTCAATCAAACTTCTTTGTGTTAATTCATATGGCTCCCAAACATCGGGCTTTTTTGAGTGGTTTGCGCCTCCACAATCTCCTAATAGCTTCTTTGCATAAGGTAAGGTTAAGGTGGTTGTCCCTTGCCAAGCGGCTCACTTAAAGCATAAACAGACGGCAGCGTTGATCCGGATCAACTCGGAAATTAACTGCAGTTGATCCGGATTAAGTCCGAGTTAATCCGGATCAACACTGCCGTCTGTTTAAGCTTTTAGACTGCGATCGTTGGTCCTTTGTTATACCACTGCGAAAGGTGCCGAGAACGGAAGTTTCGCAGGTGGCAGATGTTAGTGCCGAAGAGCTCCTCCAAACTAGTCGGATAGTACGAACTTAAGCGCCTAAGCCTAATAGGAAGTATTGAGGTAATTCCACCTTGTCGTCCTCCATGCAGCTGCGATAAACGGGGTGCGGTGTGAAATTTAATGATATGACAGTAGCCTGTCAGTCAGTGCACCTACCAGAAGCGGGAGATCCCTAGACCATCCGCTCGGCCAGAATGATCTCGCAGTAGCACAAGCCCTAGTTTTCCCCCAGCGTTCACTGAGTTGACCCGAGGCCCATCTTTCCAAGAGAAGTCCACAAGTAATCAAGGGCTGTCCCACCCTCTCTTTTTTTAGCGATATCACCTCGTGGGTGCTGCCTCATCAGCCCCACAATTTTCTGCGATATTCACTATGGCCTGGCACCCATACAAGTCTGAAAAGGTAATAATTCGAAGCGACTGAAAGTGAATTAAGGTATTCCCCAACATGCTTTGAGCGTACCGTAAATGAGCCCAGGGCAGATCTCGCTTACCGGCATCGCGCACAACAGCACCCAATCGATTTTTTCCTTAATAGCGACAATCTTCTTCTGAAAAACACTACAGTGATTTGGAAGCCAAAATTTAAGGTTGATGGAGAGCTCCCAGGAAAATACTCCTCATGGACCCTTCCGTCAAGCTTCGACCCATGCGTGTAAAAGTTCATCGGTGCCTCCTGCCAACCACTCGTTCGAATAGGCAGGGATGAAATCGAAGCCCCCGAGAATACTAGAGTGTTCAGACCCCGAATCAGTCAACCAACCAGTGCCTCTAAGTCTGACTGCAGCTTTTTTAACTGCGATATCGGCGGGCGCTATATTAAGCATGACGTTAAAGGCCAGAGTTGGAGTGGTCCTAAGCGCCCCACTGATTCCAATCAGGGCAGCTCATTGAACTCGCCCGCCCTAACGATTGACGTAGCCTTCTGCAGTGCATTCCACCAGATGAAGGACTCCATAGAGCATAATGAGCTTAACTATAGAGCCAGGAAATATACTTGAGAGATAACCCCCATCTAACACCATTTGCATTGTTTCATGAAGCTTTCCAGTGACTGGCCAAACAGGGCGAGCTCTATATTTGACGACAAAATTTCCGCAGTGGAATCGAGCATACCACTCTTGGGTCCGGCATTCACTCACAGCAGAGACTTTTCATATGACCCAATATTTTTGTTAAGTTTGGACATCAGTACATATGTAAATATTTTACTTTAAGCCATTCAAACGCGGAGTGTACACCGCCCTTCGTACAAAAAGGGCACTCTTGTAAAATATTTTACAAATAGAAACATTTATTGGGTTGCTATTTTAATTACGGTAACAATAGAATTTCGGGATCCAGCGATAACATCGGACGCTTCAGCAGCCGCTATTGCCGTGGTAGTGGTGTTACCGCTTGCTGCCACGATTTCACAGCTAATGATCATTACCAGCAGTGTATGAAGCAGTTATGTATATTCGATTTCCCTCCAAGTTTATTGTTACTAATATGCAAATCAATTAATTTTGCATAACATGACGGCATTTAAAACTTTAACAGCTGTTCAGTTATATCCACATAAAAGCGACGAAATGGAGAAAAGACATCAATGGTCTAAGATACCGCTGGGTCTGTTGTGTTTTTTCTTATTTACAATGTCTGCTCTTTTGTAGAGTGAAATATAGCCTCTTAAGAAAATTACAAGCTACTTTCATACACACATAGCTCAAAGACAATAGTACTAATATTCACAAGAGAAATGACAAGTCCATAAACCAGCACAAAGCTTCACTAGTCAAAATGCTCCATCTTTTTCTACCGCTAATTGTCCATGCATTTTAAGCTAAGCATTTATAACGAACGGATCGTGTGTTCGAATCAGATCACTAGTTGAAATAGATAGCGAAATTTATTATTTTAATAAAGAAATATAAGGTCAAGGAATTCGAGGATGCCTACAATCTGCTGTTCCATGACTTTAATGTCACTTTTGGTTTTGTGCTCTCTATTGCCGCCTACTACATTAGCACAGGCTATGCTTGAATTGCCGGTGGATGTGAATGAAGTGCCGCTCAAATTAATAGAAGTACCACGCACCAGTATTCTTGCGCGTATACCTTTACTTCGCAGCTTTTTGCGTGCTGTGCGTCCGAATACGCATGTCGGTCGTAAGTCAGATTATCGCAGTGAATTCGATGAGAATTTCATCAATTATCACGCTGCTCAGTTATGGAAGATTGCATTTAATGTAACACGCAAGCGTGGCGATAACACCCAACACACTGAAAGTATGCAACAATTCCTGGAGAAATTTGGTAAGTTAGTGAATTGTAAAATAACAGGACAATTCTGGCAACTGTCTTTCAACTCACCACCGTCTTTCGAAAGACAAAAGTATTACGTAAGACATTCGTCAATTTGGGCAACTATCTTGAAAGCTCCTTTCTGTCATTCGAAAGACTAATTGAAATAACTGCTAACTGTTAGTATTATAGCAAAAAGTTTTCTAAAAATTATGTATGTACGAGCATTTTCCTTAAAAAAAAAAAAAACAAAAAAAATAAATTAAAAGCAAATGTATTTAGAAAATTAAAAATAAAATGAGTTTCTAAAAATTAAATTAAATTAAAAATATATATATATTTTTCTTTTTAAAACACTAAAACTAAAAATATACATATTTATTTTTAAAACAATGAATTTAAAAAAAAAAAAAAAAATAAATAAAAAAGTTCCTTAAAACTAAGTGAAATTAAAAAAATAAATAAAAAAGTTCCTAAAAACTAAGTGAAATTAAAAAAATAAATATACTAAAATCCAAAAATAAAAGAAAAAACTAAAAAAAGAACAAAATCAAATGAAAAATTCTAAAAATTTAATAAATTAAAAAAATATATTTTGCTTCTTAAAACAATAATATCCAAAAATCAAAAGAAAATTAATTTAAAAGTAAGAAAGAAATATATAAAATCAGTTCCTAGAAATTAATTGAAATTAAAAAATATATATATATTTTTTTTTAACAATAACATCTAAAAATTTAAATACAATTAAATTAGATAAAAAAGGATAAAAAATAAAAATTTTGAAAAGAAAAAAATTGCGTTACCCTTGGATTCGAACCTCGCACCTCTCGAATGGCAAGCGAGCAAAATGATATCCGTGTATACATCTTCATGTGAAGCATGCTCAGGTGCTTTCTGTCGAAAAAACTTGTCACCATGAAAGTTGACAAGCAAGTTATTTGTAAGACTTTCGTGCCAGAATAAACAAAATCTTTCAAACTATCTAGTAGCAGGCGTGTTTAAAGCATAGCCTAGCAAATACATTAAGTCAAAGGTAACAAACTCTAAACTAAAATCATGAAAACTAACATCGCATACTGCAAATAACAGGCAATGTAGCAATCGTTTAGAGATAAACAACATTGATGTTTTTGAAGAAATATTCTCTATCTTCAAATTTGAGTTATTCAAATAGGATTTTGTGCTCCTAAAGTAAAATAAGCTCCTCTCCAGTAAAAAAAAAAAATCAATTAAATTCTATTAAGCGACCACATTCGCAGTAAAATTCGCAAAAAAAGAACTAAAACAGAACAAAAAACTGCACGCAATCAAAAATACACACATAACACACAAACTTTATGAAGTTATTCAAATCAAGTTTAAGGTAAAACAGCAAAATGACCCCTAGTTAACCACCTCATTCATCTTGTAACTTCTGCTCTGCTCATTCATATAATGAAATGACACTAAAACCTGTTACTAGATATTCTTTGTATATAATTTACATAAATTAGCCTAGAATTCTTGGGCTTCCAGCTTAGCGTTGAAATTATTGAATTGGATTTATTTATTTAGTTAGTTACCGCCGAAAAAGCCGCGTCTCCGCTGAATCTGCGAACGCAATCGCAGTTTGCTAAAATTTTAAGAAAAGTAAAAAAAAAAAAAGATAAGCGCTAATTTCGCATTATGCTAGCAAAATACTTGCACGACAAATTCCTTGCGTTTTCAACGATTTTATTGCTAGCAAAGCTACCTTCGCATCCCAGCCGCCAACAAAATCCGAAATTGCTTTTACTGCGCAGCATTCCCGGTTTTCCAACCGCTGCAATATCAAGTGATGAATTATATGAAAATACCTTGGAAAGTTTGCAATGGCTAATGCCAGTGGACATACGGCAGTTTAATATTTTTTCACCACAATCGTCTTATCAGATTAATATGCGCTATCGCAATAGCGCTTCAGTGAAACGTTACTACGGTTATCAATTGTGGAAAGTGCATGAAAACGACATAGAAAATGAAGTGCTAAGGACGTTTTGGCAACACTTTGGTTAGTAGTTACGTATGTGGTATGTACATGTATTGAATTGATGTGAAATTGGTTCTTGTGTGCTAAAAAACGTGCACTACGTGTCATGAGAACGATTAAAACGTCTCAGATTGGGCAGTGAAATTCTACACCCAGAAAAAGGCAGCTAAAAATATTTCTCTCAACACATTATTTGGTAACTATAACAAAATAATTGAGGGATTCACAACGGTGTCGTAGGTGTCGTATTGTTGTATGTCGTAAACTTTAAAAGCTTTAATAAATGTTTAGAAAACTTGAAACGACAACCAACTTTTTTTTGAAAACTGCAAAAATGCATAATATGACTTTGATGGTACTTTGCGAACCCCCTTTATATATTTTTTTAGGCGTTTAAAGTTGCCGACATACAACAATACGACACTTACGACACCGTTATGAATATCCCAATAGTAACTGTAAACAAATCATATGTAGAGATAAATATTCTTAGCTGACTTTTTTCTGGGTGTACTATTTGAAATTTTTGAGTGAGAGAGTGTGTAAATATGTATGTTTGTTACTCTTTAACGCTAAACCGGTTCAGCGGATTTGGATAAAACTTGACATAAAGCCTGGTTTAACATATAGGGCATTGTTTAAAGAGAGTCGCCACCTATTTTAAATTCAATTTAAATTATAGGTTCAACCAAATTTTACAAAATGGATATCAAACGATGCAGATTTAAAAATATTTTATTATTTCGAAAACATTTTTGCCACTTATTTAAAAAGTTGGATTCAATTTTATTAAGCAGTCAATTATATTATCTAATATACAGAAATTTAACGAAGTATTACAATAGTAATGGCAAAGGAAATAGGTTTAAGAAACATTTATTTCGAAGGTATTTTTGTTGATGGATACCACCTTTATAAGTCAAATTGCATTTAATTAAAATTTTATTTATTTATTAATTAAATTCAGGTGGTATCCATCAACAAAAATACCTTCGAAATAAATGTTTCTTAAACCTATTTCCTTTGCATTGCAATATGGATGTCAATCGAAAGAAATTTAGGAAAGGTTCATTTCTGAAATATTTTTAAAGAGCGTTGCAACTTTTTTAAAAATCAAATTCCATTCAAGCGAATAAGTAAAATAAATATTATACTTTTGATGCCCAACAAAATAAGTTTCAGAAAGCTTTATTTCGAAAATATTTTTAGCGGCGGTGCCACCTGTTTAAGAATTGAATTCAATAGCGATGTCAAAATGTTTACATATAGAAAGGGTTGCCACCTGTTCAAAGTCAAATTCCACTTAATAAAATATTAAAATATTAGAGCAATAGAAGCCAAATCAACAATTTTTAGAATTTATGTCTGTCTGTCGGTATTTTGTAAAGTAATGCATGATATTGAATGCAGTTTTCACCGATGTATTGTTAGAGGTCTAACTTAAAATATATAAAGAAAGAAAAATAAAGAGTTGCCACCTGTTTAAAAATTGCAGTTTGAGTAAATTGACAACATAAAGGAAGTATTGCAATATGGCTGTTAAAAGAAAGAGGTTTAAGAAGGCTTACAGCCGAAAATATTTTTGTGAAGGTTGCCACATGTTTGAAATTTTTTATTTAATTTAATTGATAAGATAAATTAAATATTACAATATGGGTATCAAACTGAAGAAGTTTACAAAAATTTACTTTCGAAAATATTTTTTGGGAGGGTTGCCATCTATTTGAAAATTTTTATTTCACGAAATTGATAAATGAATGAAATATATCAATACGGTATCAAACAACACAAAAATACGTTTAACGCGTGGTGAAGCACGCCGGGTATTTACTAGTCGCGAATAAAAATAGTAAATTTTGTTCGAAACTTTTTTCTCGGTAGTGCATTTTTCAAGCTCTAAATGACCATTCAACTTCAACTCGTCCTGGACTTCTTTTTATTGGAAAATTAAACAAAAAATGGAATCGGGGATACTATATCTTTTGGTCGTATTACCGACTTCCGGTTTTGGCCGGATGTTGGTTAAACTGACCCGAAATCCATTTTTTTTTTAATAGGGCATACACGTTTTTTACCATAGATTCGGATTTTGCTGACAAAAAAACATAACCTTTGTCGGAAACTTTTTTATGGAATGGACTTCCGGTTAAAATAGTGCACTTCCGGTCAGTTTAACCCACTTCCGGTCGAAACCGGTTGGTAATACGAACAAAAGATAGAGCTTTCCAGATTTACCAAAATTTTTGCGTTTTTTTTTTCAATACAAAAAAAAATGTTCCCTCCATTTTAGAAAGAGTGGACGGGGTGGTCTTGGACAACCTGACCTTAGACACAAATGTATGTGTAAATCAGCTTTTCACTCCTATTTCAGGTGCCGAAGTATGGAATATCAATCAAGATGGAATCGATATTTTAATTGATTATAAAAATACAGCAAAAGCCAAAGATTTTATAGCGAAAACGGACTTCACCTACAACGTTATGATCGACGATATCGAGACCGCAATCGATGAGACTTATATGGAAGTAAACAATAGCAATGCCAATATGCCATGGTTGGACAGAGAGAGTATGTTGCATTCGGATTAAACCGAATTACCATTGACATCTACTATCATTTATGACCAAAAATTCTAACTTAAAAACCAATTTGCAGATACGATAATGAATTGGAATCGGTATCATGACATTGGCGATATACAACAATTTATGCAGCACATTTTGGAAACCTACCCCGATGTGGCGGAGATTGTGCAAATTGGTGTGACGCATTATAAACGGCCTTTGGAAGTACTGCGGTGAGTTGAGAGTTTTCTCTTATTTTAAATACAAACCAAAAGGGAATAGAAAAAGAAATGTTTAATATTAAAAGTTATCAGCATAAAATAGATGAACTCTAATTATTTTTTTGAAATAAATCAACTTGCACTACTTTTGCAGTATCTCTAATGGCAACCCCAAAAACTGGGCTATCTTTATTGACGCCGGCATGCAGGCGCGCGATTGGCTCACTCCTGCTGCCCTCACCAGCGCCATCTCGAAATTAACATGGCTGTGGGACCAAGAGCCGGCCTACATGCGCAACATTGATTGGTATTTCCTGCCAGTAGCGAATCCCGATGGCTATCAATATTCGCGCATCACCGACCGCCTCTGGTCGAAGAATCGTTATTTCGATAGAAAAACTGGTTGCTATGGCGTAAATTTGAATCGCAATTTTGATTATCAGTGGGGTGGGTCGGGTGCGTCCGAGAATCCTTGTAAGAATTTATACAGAGGACCAAAGCAATTTTCCGAACCAGAAACGAAGGCGATACGAACATTCCTGCACAACATGCGTGAATATTTGGGTGCATATGTGTCTTTTGGCGCCTATGGGCAAGCGATCACCTATCCATGGGGTGATGCAGACTACGTGACCGACAACCAACGGAAACTGCATTATGTGGCGCGACGTGCAATGTTGGTGAGTTACTACTAGTACACACACATACATATTTATGTATGTGGGTATGTGCAGCAATTTTAAGGGCACAAAAAATCAATTTGCTGGCCACTAAAATTCTGTCCATTGTTTGTTCGCCTTTTCTCCAAGCTTTTGTTTGTAGCCTGTTTTACAAGTGCCTTTTTTTATGTTTTGTTTGCTTTTTAGAATTTCCGCAAATTGAATGAAGCCGAGTACCGTATAGGCACTAGCTATCGACTGAAACTTGCGCGCGCTGGCAACTCAGCCGATTGGGTGCAGCAGCGCATTAATCCACAATACGTTTACAATGTATTTCTAAAGGACCAAGGGCGCTATGGTTATTTGATGCCACCGCACTACATTGTGGAATCGGGCGAGGAGGCATACGAATTTATGAAGACAGTAGCAGCGGCGCTGAATTGAAACCAAGCCAAAAAATGAACGCCACGAAAATAGCGTGCAATGAAAAGGATAAAAGGAAAGATTACTAAATTATTAAAAGGAATAGAGACATTTAAAAAATTTACAAACAAAATACTCAAAGTATTTCGGTATTAAATTTTAAATGCTTTTATTATAAATTGAAACGAAATGTGTATTAAACACACATAGTTGCTAATTATTTAGTACTTAAGTTAATTTATTTTTAGCATTTAGGAAAATTTAACTAAATACACAAAAATTTACACTACATGTGGATATTTTTTGAATTTAACTTTTTATGACCTTCAATGTTTATGCCTAAAATGATGGGCTAAACCCAAAAAAAAAAAAAGCAATGCCAGCAAATAAAAATTTAAATACCTTGAATATGTACATAGTATGACCGTCTTTATAATCGCCTGTATGTATGTAAGTATGCACATTAGAGTAGCCCTTATCGGAAATTTGCGGGTGGTATAGCTGAACTATGCGCCACAGCTGCATTTGACTAGCCACCTTGTTCGCGACCTTTAGATGGGCACTCTTATATAAAAACATAGCCTGATGCATAATGTACTTTTTGTTTTCAAACTAAGTAATTTTATTTTATGCTTTTTTTAGTTTTAGCAATGTTTCGCCTAATTTCTCCGCCCATGACTGTAGATAGATAGATCTCCTTGCGATCATGACTAACAGCAGCGATTTAACAGCGATCGTAGCTGTTTGCTGTTAAGTTCACAATTTAAAATCCAGTGCATACTTATAGGCAGCAATGTCAAATCAACGCACATACATACATGCATGATTATTTAAAAAAATTCACTGTAAGCTTAGTTTAGTTTTTTGCTGGTACTCTCAAAAAATTCATAATAGTCGAGGAGCTTGAACAATTGTTTTGGTGCATGCATTTATGTAAAATAGCAAATGAAATTGCCTTATTGTAATGAATAAATATGTATTTCGTAAATCGTTGCAGATACTGAAAATAGTTATTTAATAATTGTCACTTCTTGTCCTAAAAAGTTCTTGGCAGGGTACGGAGAATATTTAAAATATTAATTGTATTCACAAATAATTCTTTACAGCAAACATTTGGCTCGAATTGAACGCTTTTTAAAATTCTCGATTATAAAAAAATCTTTTTATCATTCGAGCTAGAGAGCACAAGCGCAACCACTTTGAGCAAATAAAAATACGAACAAATTAAAAATGTCTGTCATATAACTACGAGATATTCAACACAAAAAACAAAAATTCGTTCGCAAATGATTCAAATTCATTCTTTCTTCCATGACAAAAATATAGTAAGGTAAAACCCAAGGCGAATTTATATAAGGTGGTGTTGTTTCATCAGCTGTGAGTAGCGTTTGATTGTCAAAATTTTGTATTTCGTTAGCGAGTGAGTGAAAACGTGTGAGAGGAAGAACAGCCGAAATTTGACAATGGTCCGCCAAAAGCAAAAAACAAAATACAAGTAATTGTTGTATTTGTTGAATCGATACCACCTTATATGTATTCGCCTTGGTAAAACCGTTCTCTCAATTCGTCGGCCATGATATTTTTTTTGAAGTTTGTCAACATTTTAAATATATATAAAATTGAGAGTAAAAAAAGGAATTGTTCAAAGTTGTCGTTGTTTGAGATTGAAAATGAGATTGTGTGTGTGAGTTTGTGTGTAAAATTTTAAAATTAAATTGCTTGCAAGAATTTGAAAAATTCCTCTCAGCGGTTCTACCTTCCCCCTTTTTTGTCATGCTTTCTTCTATTCATTCGCAATATGCGAGTTAACGTCAAAAGGAACATTTGTTGATCTATGCTCAGCTATTTTCAAAATAGTATTTTGTTTTCATACGCAGAAGTGTATTTTCGTAGACGTTATTTTGAAAGTTGTACATAATTTATAATTACCGAAAAATGTTCTACTATCTTAATATCTGACCTCATACTTGGGCTCAGCGGAAATTTTTAAATATGAAATGATGGTCAAATGCCAGAGCTTAGAACTTTTTTGAAAATTTGTTATCTAGTGTACATAATTATGGAAGAGTTCTAGTTGCATGTTGTTTTGTATTGCTGCGAAATGTATACACAATATTATACAAATACAAAGCAGCATGCAACTTCCCTGAAATTTTAAAGAATTCGTTAAGATTTAATTCGATTTTTTGCCGAATTTTATAAAATGAAATAAATTACGCACACTTCCATTTTTTTACGAAATTTCGGAAGAAAATCTGTGAAGCAACGAAAATAATGGTGCTATGTGAAGAATATCTTTCAGAATTTTCTTTATTTTTCGTACAGAAATTTCTTTACGAGTTCGTGTCAACCACTTCATATAATTTTCTTTGAAAATTCGTAAAAAAATCGTTACAGAAATGAGATACTCCTAACGATTTCCTTAAGATTTCGGGAACTTTGAGTTGCAGGGTTGGAACTCGCCCTATACATATGCAAATATGTAGATGTTTGAAATAATTTTCATTTATAATACTGTGCTTTGAAAACAAGGGAATGAATTAAAATAAATAAATTTTCTTCAATTTATATTTACATACACACATCGCTAAATAGTGATAAATTCGGGCAAATGTTTGCGGCAGAGAGCGAATGAGTCAGTTCATATTCATTCGTATATAACGAATGAAAACAATATAATTACCTTTTAAGTTAATGAGAACGTAAACAAAATTAAAAAATACATTCTTCCGAATGAAAACAAAAAAAGAAAACAATCGTCGAAAGGCAACGAAAACAAATGGTTTTTATAAAATTCGTTCACAGATCGCAAATACAAATGAAATGAATTAATTTTAATAATTTGAAAACGAATTTTTCGGAACCATGGTTCTTGGAAAAAGTGGCCGTAATATGGGTACGTTCCCATACCGTACCACCTTGCAAGTCTAAAGAACTTTCACAAAGCAATTTAAAAAATAAAAAATAAATTGTGTTGCTGCCGTTTTGCATTTTTCGGTGACACCTTGTAGATATGTACGTACATACATTAAGGCGTATCACGAAAAGAGTTTAGCGTGTGTCAGTCTTATTTGAATACTTGTGTCGTGAAAAAATTTTGGGGGTAAACATTTTTTTATTCACCCACTAAATCGCGTTTTTGGCTATAACTTTCTTATTTGCTATCCGATTTTTTTTAACTTTTGATACCGAAAAGTCCTCTCCCAGGACTATAATTGAATAAAGCCTTTTTAGCAAGGTCGTCATAGTTTTTTGAGAGCTTTAGATTTATAGTATAAAATTAAAAATCTAGGGATAGTAATTCCAAAATTAGTGAAGATATAAATTAAAACGGTTTTGAAGGCCAAAACTGTTTAATTGCTAATTATAGTCCTGAGTGAGACTTTTCCATTCATTTTTACTAGGGGAGTATATGTAAATTCAAAAGTTTAAAGCCGTTTTTCTCGAGTTTTGCCTTTTTGAGTTATGACACTATTGAAGTAAATGAGTGGCATGTACACTCGGCAATACAACTTTTTTCAAATATGGAAAATATTAATGCTTCCTCATCAAAAGTTTATTGATTTCTGGCGAGATTTAATTTACCGACATCACACATACATAGTGTGATATTTAGACATATCTAAATATTACTACTAGTACATAAGTATAGGAATTTTTAGTATCCAAAGTACTTTAATACAAAAGTATATATGTAAGTATGCCCATCGCTGACTTAAAATATAATTTAGATAGTTATTGGCATAATCACTTCTAGGTAATTCCATAACGAAGTTATAATTCATCAAGTAATATTCTTGGACTTACCCAAAAAGATTTAAAAAAGAGATTTTCCAAATAACTCGTATGCACGATGAATAAGAGGATAGGATTCAGAATATGTATATGTACATCTAAGTATTTAGTGTTTAAATGGTTTTTTAATATTGTATTAACTGTTGCTGATTCACTAACCATACCACTATGATTTTATTAACACATTTTTAACATTTCCCATTAAACACGCAAGACAACGCCCCGAATGTGAGGGCTTTTACAGAAATGCTATTGATGACTCTCGTCACGTTTTCTTAAGTGTAAAATATTACAATTTGCAATAAATATGCCGATTAGGATTTTGTTAAATTGTAACTTTCGAACATTCATACATATATTTAAGGTCGCCGGTAAAGTTTATTAGGTGTACACATACATACATATGTACATATGTATGCATATACAAATGTTAAATTCGGCTTTATTTTGCAGCCATGGGTTTTTGTCTGACAAAAGTGCTATGTTACACAAATATTTAAGGCAAATCAATTTAGAAAACATTTTACGACTATTTAATTTATTGCGACTTAGACAGCAATAATACGCCAACAAAAAAAGAAGCAATCGTTTGGACCAAAATATTATGCAACCGCAACTACTTAAATTAAATAATTGTGGAAGTAATTAACATATGAAACTTACGCACAACAAAAGGAAAACAAACAAAACAAAAAACGGCCGAAAGCGCTTATTTATTGGAAATTAGAATGCAGACAAAAAAGCATAAAATCAAACAAAAAAGTTTTGAATCCATTGACATAGTAGCTGTATACTCAAAGACAACATACATATGTATGTATGTACATGTGCCTATGTATGTATGTACGTTAGGGTGGTCCAAAAATTCATGAGAAAAATTAAAACCTGAATTTTAAGCTCTGCCCCCCCCCCCTAGGATTGTTCTAAACCGAAAAAATTATATCCCTGTCTTTTTTTATTTCGAAATCAAAAAATACTTAGAGGTGGCTCTAAGTGTTTAAGTTTTTCATGTATTTTATGTGGGAAATAACAAGAAATGGTATAGAATTCTTAAAAATCAATATTTTTCGATCGGAATATTTACTTCTCTTCAGGAGACTGCCCAATTGTTTATTTTACCTTTTTTTAATACTAGCGATTTTTAATGATTCCACCACTGTATTTTTTGAGGTTTTTAGAAGTTTTATAAATATTTTTATTGGGAGTCTGCTGAAGAGAATCCAAGT